TGACCTGACTTAACTGATTGACCCTTAAAAAATCCAGATCTAGAATTATACACTGATGGCAGTTCCTTTGTCAAAAATGGTGTCAGACATGCAGGGATTGCGGTTGTAACAGAATTTGGCATCCTCAAATCAGGTCCTCTTCCTCCTAACACAAGTGCTCAGTTGGCAAAATTACTGGTGCTAACAAAAGCCCTAAGACTGTCAAAAGAACAGAGTCAACATCTATACAGATTCTAAGTATGCCTTCCTGATCCTGCATGCTCATACAGCCATTTGGGAAAAAAAGAGAAATGCTAACTACAACAGAAACAGCTTGCCATAGGGATAAAAGGGAGGTTACTTTAATAGTTTTAGGGATAACAGCATTAGTTGCAGCCCTTGCTGGAATCAGCTATGGGGTGATTGCCAATCATGTAACTGCAAAAAACCTAACCAGACCAGGTAGGCCTTGCCATTAAGGACCTGTATGGTCATGGACCACCGCCTGGCCCTAGATTTTCTTTTGGCTAAACAAGGAGGGGTATATGCCATGGCCAATACTTCCTGTTGCACATATGTAAACACTTCAGGCATTGTAGAGGAACGTGCAGATTACATTCTTCAACAGGCTAAATGACTCCGGGAACAATCTCTTGAAACTCAGGCTTCTACACAGGTATGGGACAAATAAAATCCTGGCTCCCCTCCAGGACTTGGTTCCTACCCTTTCTGGGGCCTATGTTGCCATTATTCTCTTGCTTGTGTTGGGGCCTTGCATTTTCAACTTACTTGTCAAGTTTGTTTCTTCTTGCCTACAATCCATCAAACTACAAATGCTTTGGTGGAGATGAAAATGACCTACTATCATGGTCCCCTCACCAACCCCTCTTGTGGTCAGCCCTGATGCTGCGGGCCCCTTCATTGCCCCCTGTCAGCAGGAAGCAGTTACTGAATAGACTTAGTTGTCCCTATCCCTAACAGCAGATAGGGGACTACTGAGAGCGGGGATTGAAGGATGGACAGCAGGAGGTTCCAAAAGGTGATAAGTGGTCAAGGAGACACCTCTCCTTCCTAGGAAACTTCTGTCTACACCTGAGAGACATCTTTGCCCTCAGGCAATAATCAAAATGGCTATAAAAACCCAATCTCCAACCTGACCCACAGGACCACCAGTTTCCAGGGCCCCCTGCATTCTCCGCCATGCAGTCTTTCTCTTCTCTTTGCTACAAATAAAATCTTTCTGACCTCTGCTGCTGGAGTCCACCTGTGATTTCATTCTCAGAGCAGGCTCAAGAACCCTGAGCACCTGAAATTCCTGTGTGTGTCATCTGTGCCTCATTCAGTTGTCTACATAGTAAACTGTAACACAAGATCTTCTTGATCTTTTTATTTTTGTATCATCACGGCAATCATCTGATAAGAGAGCAGCTGGGCAAAGCAGTGTTTTCTTTAATGTGTTGAACAGTCTATTTCATTGATCTAAGAACAGAAATAATAGCAATAGCATAGATTCCATCATGATAAGCCAGCAAGAAATCTAGATCCATGAAACTGCTGGCCTTCCTTGTCCCAGTGAATCGAGACAGCTCTGTATTCCATTTAAGGAGAAGTGAGTGACTTCATTAATAACTTCTTCCGGAGTTATTGACAGATCTTTTAGGCTCTATTTTTTTTTTAATCTCCCACCATTGGAATAGTGCTCTGATTGTATTTGTTGTTTGTATTGAGATTAAAGTGCAGTTTTTCTCTCTTTTCTAAGAAGGAAAATCTCATGGTTTAACATAACAAAGAGGCGGTTGAGGAAAGTGACCTTAACCTGTTGGTGATAATACAGGACATGGTACATGAGGCCTTTGCAATATTTTGCCATGCCTTAAATAGTAGGGTAGTGTGGGGAGCGGATTAAAGCCTACAAGAACTGGACAAAAGCAAGGTGAGATGAAGTTAATTGCTTTTACCTGTAGGCCAAGACAGGCACAGACCCCAGCCATGAAACAGGGAAAGGCAGAAGAGCTGCGTCTCCTAAATTGTGTTCAGAGAAGCAGGAACACAGGTTTCTCTTGTTACAATGTCATGCCCCTCCCTGTGGCTCCACCCTGTTTGCTGCTATGAAAGACCCCTGAAGGAGGAAGAGGGGCTTTTGGGGCTTTTGCTTTTGGGGGCTTTACTTTGGGCTTTTGGACTTTTTGCTTTGGGGGGGTTTTTTGCCTTTGAATATTGGGAAGAAGCTTTTGGAAGGGAAAAGAATTGTTAAAGGGAATATGCTAAAGAGGGGTTGATAGAAAGTCTGCACCGAGAACTTTAACATAGGCCTTAGAAAGCTAAGCCAAAGAAAGAATTTTAACGTAGGCTTTAGAAGCAAAGAGAACATGGGACAGTGCACTGTGCAAGTCTAAGGTCCGAGACTTTAAGAGTTATGCATATGCAGGTTGTAGGCAAGGCTGTTTGCAAGTCTGAGCACTGAGGCTTTAAGAGAGCTAAAGAGAGATGAGACAGTGCAAGCCTGGGGGCAAACGACTTTAAGAGCAATTAAGCTAAGAGCAAACATGGACAGTGCAAGCCTAAGGAAAGAGGTTTTAAAGAACTGCAAGGAGTAAGGCCTTAAAGAATCAAGATAGAGAAAAGAAGCAATAAGGGTTGTGCATCTCCAGCTGAGTGTACAACACACCTGACCCCGAGTTTCTGTCTAGCCTGTGTCTTTTCACCTGATATAAAAGTTAGGGTGCTTTGCTGGACACTAGTGGCCCTCACTTGTAATCCTAGCTAATTGGGAAGTAGAGAATGTGATGATCAAGTTTCAAGGCTAACCTGGGCAAAAAGTTTGTAAGCCCCCATCTTAGAAAAATGCTGGATGCTGTGGTGTGTGACTGTCATCTCACCTATGGCAGGAAGAGTAAAATAGGGGTATTGAGGTCCAGGCTGGCCTGGACAAAAGGTGAGACCCTGTCTCCAAATAGCTAAAGCAAAAAAGGCCTGAGCACCTGCCTAGAAAGTGCAAGTCCTGAGTTTAAATCCCAGTACCAGCCCCCCCAGAAAAAAAGTTAGTGTGCCCCAGGTTGAAAATCCAAAATCAAGCAGCTCCTAGTGATTGATTATAAATAAATTTTCAGCAAGGAAATGCTACAGCCCATCCTGAAAACAGACATACAATAACTACAACATATCCAAATTTTATTAAGGATGAGATCTGGGTAGGCAAAACCATCTGAACATGTGCAATTGAAAGACTGAAGGACAGACTGCGGGAGGTCCCAAAAGGCAATAAGTGGTCAAGGAGACACTTCTCCTCCCTAGGAAATGCCTGTTTGCATCTGAAAGGCATCTCTGCTATCAGGCAATGCAAATAGGCTATAAAACCCACTCCCTACCCTGACCCACGGGATCACCGGTTTCCGGGTCCCCTTGCATTCTCCAATATGCAGTCTTTCTCTTCTCTTTTCTCCAACTAAATTCTCTGCAAATAAAATCTTTCCGACCTCTGCTGTTAGAGTCTGTCTGTGCTTTCATTCTCAGAGCAGGCTTAAGAACCCTGAGCATCTGAAATTCCTGTGCGTGTCATCTGTGCATCATATTCAGCCCCAAGATTTGATTCCTGGCATGTCCCACCCTAGAATGTTTTTATGATTATGCTGACAGATAAAACATCTGAAAATAACCTGTTAAAAAGCTGTCTTTAAAACATTTCTGTATCAATGTTAGTATAGTGTCCAATTTGTCCTAGTATAATAAGTAATTTCATGGAGACATTTAGATAATATCCATTTGAAGTAATGTGAGAGCACCAAGCAGCCATTTTTGGGAGCACTGGAGAGTATTTAAGTGAAGGTTATAATTTTTAACACTATTCTTTTTCAGAATCAGGGAGTTAGTGTTGATATTTTGTAATGATTTCTTTGGATTCCTATAGAGGTTTATTCTTTGAGAGTTCAGTTAGTAACAATCTTAGTTAAAGTTGGTTGTTTGGCATAGTTATCTGCTAGAACATTTCCTTTCACTTCCATATTACCTCTCTCATACTATCTTTGTATAAACCACAGCCCTAATAATGGCCACCTCTCTAAGAAATAGGAGTGTATCCATAAGTTCCCTAACTTGTTCTCCGTTTCTTATGGGAGTTCTAGCAGAGGTTAGGAAACTCTCTTTGTTTTCGAAGCACCCTAAAGTCATAAACTGCTCCTAGGCATACTGCTATCAGTATATATGCTTAATCTTTGGTATTTGGCTAGTTGGTAAGCTCTATCGGATTTCGACCTGGCCGATGAGCCCCCACCATACTGTCGGCAGGCTCCACCCGATCCTTCTCCTCCCCAACCTACCCCACCATCTTTCAACCTGCCTCAACTTCCTGCTTCTTCACCCCCTTCTGCATCGCCACCCCCTGCCCCCACTTCCCCTTCCACTCTGATTCCTCCCTCTTCCCCCACCTCCTCCCACCACTAGGTCATGCACTCTCGCTGCCCAGCCTACCCCTCCTTCCCTCCTAGCACCCCTCTGGGAGGTAGCCGGATCTGAGGGCATTGTTAGGGTTCATGTCCCCTTCTCTGTGCTCGATCTCTCCCAAATCAAAGCTCGCCTGGGCTCCTACACAACTAACTCCTCTGCCTATGTCAAACAATTTCAATATTTATTCCAGTCTTACAGCCTAACCTACCATGATATCTATCTCATTCTCTCTAACACCCTCTTGCCTGAGGAACGTAAAAGGGTTTGGGAACAGGCTCGCATGTATGCAGATGAGGTCCATCAGACAAACCCCAATCATCCCACAGGTACCATTGCGGTGCCTGACCATGATCCCAGGCTGGACTTACCCTCCGGGACCAATTTGCCACCTGCCTCCTGGCAGGGCTAAAACGGGCATCACAAAAGGCCATTAATTTTGAAAAACTCCAGGAAATCATCCAGGACGGAACAGAAAACCCCTCTACCTTCTTAGACAGGGCTCTCCAACAATACACCAACATTGACCCTGAATCCACAGATGGTAGACAACTTCTTATGACTTATTTTTTCTCCCAAAGTTACCCCGACATTAGGGCAAAATTAAAAAAACTCGATAGAGGCCCCCTCACTCCTCAGACCGAGGTGTTGGCAGCTGCCTTCAAGGTGTTCCACTCCCGTGATGAAAAGGTGAGAAGCCAAAAATGCCAAATGTTGGCCCAGGCTATGCGAGGCCCAAACCCTCGGACCGAGCGAGGGAATCAACATCCAGCGAACAAAGGCCCCTCGAGTCCCTGTTTCAGATGTGGAAAGGAGGGACATTGGGCTAATTTTTGCCCAAATCCTAGGCCACCAACCCAGCCTTGCCCCAGATGACATTTGCATGGACATTGGGCGATTGATTGCCCCAGCTCTCGGTGGGGGGCCGGATCAGACTCTTGCTCCAGTCCTGACCTCATTGGGCTTGCAACAGACGACTGAAGGGGCCTTGGGACTTCCCTCCCGGCGACTACCATCTCATTTCAGGAGCCCAACGTAAGCCTTTTGATTGATGGACACCCCATATGCCTCCTCCTGGACACTGGTGCCACTTTCTCAGTCCTGATAGAGTTTTGGGGGCCCACCAGTCCATCACAAACCCCTATTGTCGGGGTAGGGGGACAAACTATTTTTCCCAGAAAGACTCCCACACATTCCTGCTCCTTTTCAGGTCATCCTTTTGCCCATCAGTTTCTGGTCATGCCCCAATGTCCCACCCCTTTGTTGGGAAGATATATTTTAACCAAATTTCAGGCCTTCATCTCATTTAACCTCAGGCCTATCCCTCTTCTTGCCCTTATGGCTATGGACAGCCCCCCTGATCCCACCGGTAAAATCCTCCCTTCAGGGGTGAACCCTAAAGTATGGGACACTGACACTCCTTCTCTGGCAACTTGTCCTCCCATTAAGATCCTCTTACAGGACCCTCATCACTTTCCATGCCAGCCTCAGTACCCACTCCCTACTTCCAGCCTGTTGGGGTTACAACCAATCATTACCGATTTACTCCACAAGGGGCTACTCAGACCCACCCATTCCCCATACAACTCTCCCATCCTAGCTGTAAAAAAGGCAAATGGCACCTACTGCCTTGTCCAAGATCTTAGACTCATTAATAATACTCTTAAACCTATATACCCCCTCGTCCCTAACCCTTACACCATTCTCTCCTCTATTCCTGCCTCCTCCACTTACTTCTCTGTCCTTGACCTTAAAGATGCCTTTTTTACCATTCCCCTCTCCCCCGACTCACAGGACATCTTTGCTTTCACTTGGACGGACCCCCCCACACACCACTCTCAACAAGTCACCTGGACAGTCCTCCCTCAGGGTTTTAGGGACAGCCCCCATCTATTTGGTCAGGTGTTTGCTAGCGATCTCAAAAACCTCCATCTCTCTAGGTCCACCCTCCTCCAATATGTGGATGATTTACTCTTGTGTAGCCCCTCTCTAAACATCTCTCAAGCCGACACCACTTTACTCTTAAACTTTCTGGCAGACAAGGGATATCGGGCCTCTCTCCACAAAGCCCAACTTTCTCAATTAACAGTCACATACCTGGGAGTTCAATTGTCCCATGACTCTAAGGCAATTACTCTGGATAGAAAACAGCTCATTCAGGAAATGCCGGCTCCCAAAACGAAGGAAGAAATTCTTTCCTTTTTGGGACTGGCTGGATACTTCCAGGTTTGGATCCCCAACATTCCCTCCTGGCAGCCCCTTATATGATGCCACTAGGGGAGACCCCTCTGAACCTTTACTTACCTCTATCAACACCCCTTTCTGACGCCTTCAACAGGCACTCCTCCAGGCCCCACCCCTCCACCTGCCAGATATCCAACAACCATTCACCCTCTATGTCCATGAAAATAAAGGCTTAGCCCTGGGGTTCTGGGTCAAGACAAGGGTCCAACATTTGCCCCAGTAGCATATTTATCTAAAAAACTTGACCCCACAGTCCGGGGATGGGCCCCTCTCTACGGGCCTTGTCAGCAGCCTATGTTCTAGTTCAGGAAGCAAAAAACTTACTTTCGGGGGTCAATCACAATCATCTCCCCCATCTCCTGGTGGAACTCCTGACATATAAGGGCTTAAGAACCCTCCCCCTTGCCGGATCCTGTCGCTTCTTGTCTCCTTCCTCCATGACTCCTCCATTACCCTTCGTGCTTGCTCTTCCTAAATCCTGCCACCTCCTGCCCACCTCTATTGCCATGCCTACCCACTACTGCGTCGAGACCCTGGAGGCCCTTCTCCCTGCCCTTCACACATCCAGGAGGGGCCCCTGAAGGGCTCCACCTACACCTGGTTCACTGATGGCAGCTCATATGTAGAGGGGGGTATACGGAGAGCGGGTTATGCTATAGTGTCCTTAACCCAAGTCATCGAGGCACAGCCCCTCCCTCCCAGTACCACCAATCAGCAGGCTGAACTGTTTGCAGTTACAAGGGCTTTTGAGCTGGCAGCCGACCATTCTCTCACTCTATACACTGATTCTAAATATGTCTTCCACATCCTCCTCTCCACTCAGCTATATGGAAGGAAAGGGGACTATTAACCACGAGAGGGACCTCTGTCACCAACTCCACCTTCATTACCAACCTTCTCCATGCCTCTCTCCTTCCTTCTAAAATTGGAATTGCCCACTGCCGGTCCACCAAACGGATTCATCACCCATAACTATGGGCAATTCTAAGGCAGATCAGGCTGCCCGACAGGCGGCAAGGGAGAATTACTCCACTCTGGCCCTAGCAAAGCCTCAGGACCAGACTCCTGAACCGGCCCATGAGTCACTCCCTAGACATACTCTCCTTTCATATCTACACTTTATCTTCCACACTAGCACTCAGAATCTCAAGCTTTTCTTAAATTCATTCTTCCCCCTTACCCCGGAGGATTCCCAATATCTACACCATCTCACCTCCACATGTCCCACTTGTCAAAGGACCAACCCACACACCCCTCTAAGGCCTGGCCCATTCCCTACTCACCAGGCCAGGGGACACATCCCAGGGGCGGATTGACAGATAGACTTTACTAACATGCCCAAGGTAAAGAAACACAAATACCTTTTGGTTTTGGTAGACACTTTCTCGGGTGGGTAGAGGCCTTCCTCTAATAAGAGGGCTTCAACTGTGGCATCTATTATTGTAACCCATATCATTCCTCGGTTTGGGATGCCTACTTCCTTCCAATCAGATAATGGCCCAGAGTTCATATCCCAGGTGACCCAAACAGTTATCAAGGCCCTTAATATCCCATGGCAGTTCCATATCCCTTACCACCCCTCCTCATCAGGGAAGGTAGAACGCTCCAACTGTACACTAAAGGAAATTCTCACCAAACTTACCTTAGAACTACACCTAGACTAGGTTCAACTCCTTCCAATAGCCCTCTTCCTCCTATGAGTGCTCCCATGGAACCCCACACAAATATCCCCTTTTGAGTTAATGTTCCATCACCCAGCTTTGCCTCCAGGGATCACCTCTGCCATGGGCCCCCTCCCGGGACACCTTGCCTTTCCCCTGCTCTCCTTCCTTCGAACCCAACTGTGGAGACACCATGATACCTTATCTCCGGACCCTTCACACACTCATCTCTCTTTCCCTTTGAACCTGGGGGACTGGGTCTATTTCTCTCCCCCTTTCCCTGAAAAGAAACCCCTCACCCCAAAATGGAAAGGGCCCCTTAAAATCATCCTCTGCACTCCTACTGCAGCCCGATTAGAAGAGACTCCAGGAAAACTAACATCTTGGATTCATATTTCCAGGCTAAAGCCAGCCCGGCCCCTGGAGACAACTGGCAGAGCGATCCCAGCAACCCTTCGCCTTCACCCCCCTGCCTTCATTTGCACCCCTTCCCCTGAAGACCCCTTGAAACTTCACATCTCTTGGGTTCATGTTCCCTGCCCGGCCCCCAAGGATGTGCCTTGACTCTCTCTTTTTATTCGCTGTTCTCACCCTCCTCTCCATGAGTGGGCAGGCTAATGCCGGAGGGTACTTTTGGAGGTTTAAGATATGGGAGACCTACACTGTCTCAGAAACCTCTCTCACCGGTCTGGTGGGCACTGGAGACTGCTCTCCTAAGGGGTGCCAGTCCCCTTCAAACCCAGGAGTGATAGCGACTTTGGATGCCATTGCCCTTTCTTCTCCCAGACTAAGGACTACTGCAAGAAGGGGGCACCATATACCCAGGAATATGGGGGATGTCCCTATTGGTCGTGTAACATCTACCAGGTACTGAATTTAAGGGGCCCAGACAATGAATTCTCCCTTTATAGGGGACAAAATGGGACCATCGTGGCCCACATCCCCAACCCATGGGACAACAGATGATAGCCCTCTATGCTGGGTGCACTGCCTCTAAACCCTCAGCTCACATTACGATTTCCAGGGAGCTCACCCTTCCAATCCTACTCAAAAGGAGGTGACTTCGGAGGTCCTCCAGTCAGAACAAAGCCTACAACAGGCCCTTCAACAATCCTCCACCCTACCTGGCTCCAACTGTTCCAGGCTTCACTCCAACTCATGAACCTCACCACATCCATTAGTGTCATTGACTGCTTTCTTTGTGCCTCCCTCCAGCGTCCTCTGCTGGCTGCAGTTCCCATTAATGCTTCATCTCCTATCAAGGTTCCCCTGCCTTACAAAACTCTCATGCACCCCTCCCTTGCCATCAGTACCTCTATGGGCACCTGACTCTACACAAGTTCCCCTTCCTACACACACCTGTTATACCCCGCTCTCGACATCTCGGTCCAACTTTTCTCTCTCCTGTCATATCAACGTCACAGTTACAGCACAACTGGGTCCCCCTCGGGGCTATATTTCTGGTGCCACAACACCCTACACTCCTGCATAACCCAAACTACCCCCAGGCCCTGCATACTGGTAATCATAGTTCCCCAACTTATTCTTTATGGGGAAGCTGAATTCTCCCTCTTATTCGGTGCTTGACCAAAGCGCGCTGCCTTCTTGCCTGTTATGGTGGGTATAAGTTTGGCAACCTCCGTTGCCGCTGCAGGCTTTGCGGGGGGAGCTCTTGGCCATAGTGTTACTTCAGCAAGGGACTTTGAGGAGCGCTTACAGATCACCCTCGAATCCACCTCGGCCTCACTGGCCTCCCTTCAGTGTCAGCTCACCTTTCTAGCTCAGGTGGCCCTCCAAATTCGTAGGGCCCTGGACCTCTTAACGGCCGAAAAAGGGGGTACCTGTTTCTTCCTCCGGGAGGAATGTTGTTATTATGTCAATGAGTCCGGGATTGTGGAACAAAATGTCAAAAGGTTAACAGACTTGGCCGAGGACCTCCTAAGGGGACCCAGTAAGAACACCTTAACCGACCTGCTGAGCTCTCCTCTCGTCACCTGGCTCCTGCCTTTCTTGGGTCCTTTGCTTATGCTCATTGCTCTCTGCGCCCTCCTACCCTGTTTACTCCAGTTTCTCAGATCTCAGGTGAACAGACTCTCTAACCAAACTTTCAACCAGCTTCTCCTTCAGGGATATCACCCCCTTATAGCTCAGCCGGAGGACACCCGCGATGAACCCTACCAGGACACCGGACTCTGAGCCACTTCAATCTCTTACAAGGCGCCTACTGCAGTTCCTTGATTCCCTAAAAGAGGACAGCTGGCTAATACCTGCCATACGAGGCCCAGAGGAGTGGCTGGAGACCATTTACGATCTATGGCTACAGGGAACCTTTATTGAATTCAGGGAGGAGGAAATTTTCACCTTTGGAGCCTGGGTGTATGCCGTTATGAGACTCGCTACTCCGACGCCATCTGCCAACTAGCCCTCCCTTCCCCTACGCCGCCCCTTGCCAGCTCCAAGAAGCCAGAGCGAACACAACACCCCCCCTTCCTTAACAAACAAAAAAGGGAGGAATGTTGGCAATAATGGTGCCGATAGGTTTCAGTTCTTACTGCACCCTTAAGCTTCTGTTTTCCAGGGTCGCGGTCCTGCCTCCCAGGGTCACAGTCCAGCCTCAACTCTAGCTTGAACCCTCCTTCTGCCCCAACCTCTAATCAGTATGAACCATAAGATCCTAACCAATCAGATCATGCTGAGTCTCACTGAGGGGTATTTAAGCCCCTGCCCCTCTCTCCCTGTCTCTCTTGGCTCTCTGCTCTCTCCCTCTCCCACCCGGCAATAAAGAATCTCTTGGCCAGATCACTCCTCTCCACGTGGTCACTTTTGGGGCCCACATTTCCTTACACTATATACTGAGTGCAATAAATTCTGCTAACTGGGCTGACATTATCTTAGGTAGAGGACTATATGCTAAGGAGAATTTAAATCAGTACTAGCTTATTCTGCTTGATAATCTCCTGGTTCTGTTTTGAGGTATGATCCATCAACAAAAAATACTAGGCCAGGGTTCTCAATGTGAGTCTCTAACAAATCTGTATAAGGCACAAAACGTTCCCTAATGGAAGAAAGACAATTGTGAGCCTTCCCCTCTGTTGAGCTCAGGAGAGTGTCAGGATTCAGAGTGTTGCTGTGGTGAGCAGAAATGTGAGAGGGAAAGAATAACAGAATATTATAAGATGTTAACTAATGAAAAGTGTAAACTTAGAGATACTATTCACAGATGATATGATCTTGTATATAGAAAATCTGAAGGATTCCACTAAAAACCTATTAAAATAAATGAGTCTAGCAATGTTCCTGGATATAAGATCAATATGCAAAAATCAGTAATATTTCTATATATGTTCAGTGAAGAATCCAAAAATGAAATTAAGACAACAATTCCATGTACAATGCCATCAAAAAGAAATATTTAATTGCTGGGTGTGGTGTGCACATGTGTAACCTCAGCACTCAGAAGGCACATGAAGGAGGATCATGAGTTCAAGACCAGCCTGGGCTACATAGTGAATTCAAGGCTAGCCTGAACTACGTAGGCACACCCTGTCTTTAAAACAAAAACAAAAACAAAAAACAAGAGCTGGGATGTAGCTTATTGGTAGAATGCTTACCTAGCATGTGAAGGCCTTGGGTTTGATCCCTGGCACCACAAGAAAAAAAACCATAAAATACTTAGGAGTAAATTTAACAAAATTAGTGCAAAGCTTTCATTCTTATAATACCAATAATAATTGGTACTCTCTATGAGACTCTCTTTTGAGAGGTCAGTGGTAAGGCTTTTGCCTAGCATGGGCAAGGTCCTGGGTTCAGTCCCCAGCACTGAAAGAAAGAAAAAGAAAAAGAATCTCAGCTATGTTCTTTCTAGAAATTGGCAAGTTGATTTGAGTATTTATATGGAATTGCTAGGGATCCACAGTAATCAAAACAATCTTGGAATGTAGAAAACCTACACTTCCCAATTTCAAAACCTACTATAACCAATAATAGTCAACATAGTGTGCTAATGACAAAAGTATAGGCATTATCAATCAATGGAATAGAATTGAGAGCTCAGAAACAAACCATGTGTCTATGGACAACTAATTTTCAACAAAGATATCAAGACCATTTAATGGGTAAAGAACTTCCCTGCCCTGCCTTTCTCCCTGCCCTATCCTTTTCCTTGGCTTACCATGTCTACCCTTCTCTTCTCTTCCCAAATTGTGCTGCAACACTATTTGCTTAAGAATAAAGCTGAATGACCTTAACCTCACACAATATGATCTCACTCATGATACATCAAAAACTTAAACATGAGAGCTAAAATGATAAAACCTTTTAGAAGAAAACAGAGATAAATGTTCATGACCTCAGATTTGGCAGTAGATTCTTGGATATGATACCTAAAGCATGAGCAACAGCAATGACAAAATAGATAAACAGAATCAAAAGTTAAGTCTTTTGTGCTTAAAGAAGGGAAAAGATACCTCATAGATGGGAGAAAATAATTGCAAGGCATATATCTAATAAGGGACGTCTAGAATATTCAAAGAACTAATAAAACTAGGTAATGAGGTGGAAGCAACCCAAATGTATATCACCTGATGAATGGATAAAAAATGTAGTATACTTATGCAACAAAATATTACTCAGCTATAAAATATAATGAAGTATTGATACCTGTCACAACATGGGTAAACATTGACAACATTAAAATTGGTGATGGGTACACAGCTCTGCAAAGATACTAAAAACCAGTGAACTGTACACTTTAAATGGTGAATTGTATGGTATGTGAACTACATTTCATTGTAGCTGAGTACAAAGTAAGAAGAATTCTCCCAGAGAACTGAGGCCCCTAAACTATAGACAGCCTCAAATGCAAAGCCTAAAACTATAAAACTTTTAGAAGATAACACAGGAAACAAGCTTTAGGATCAAGGACTAGTGAAACAGTTCTTAGACATGACACTAAAAACATGATCTATTAAAGAAAAAAATAATAAATTGGATTTTATCAAAATTAAAAACTTTTGCTTGGTGAATGATCATGCTAAAAGAATGGAAAGACAAGCAGTGGACTGAGAGAAAATATTTTCAAACAACTTACAAAATGGACTTACACCTAGAATATGTAAAGAACTCTCAAAACAAACCAAATAGAAAATGAGCAAAGATGGGCACAAGTGGCTATAATCCTAGCTACTTGGGAGGTTGAGATCAGGAAAATTGAGGTTTGAGGCCACCCTGAGCAAACAGTTTGTGAGACCCAATCTCTAAAAGAAAGAAAGTGAGCAAAAGATATGAGCAGACATTCCACCAAAGAGCATAAATAAATGGCAAAAAATCACATGAAAAGAAGTTGAACAACATCACGAAGTGTTAGGGAAATGTAAATTAAAACCATGATGAGATGTTTCTAATGAGTTACAGCCCACTAGAACAGCTTAAAAATGGTGACTGTACTAAATGCTTGTAAGGATGCACAGAAAGTCTATTTCTTGCACATTGCTGGTGGTTATATAAAATGATATGATCACTTTGGGAAATCATTTGGCAATTTCTTATAAACTTACATATTTACCATATATATGCCAATCTTAGTGCTTCCCATTCATCCTGGAGAAATGAAAACTTATTCCCCTCCCCAACAAAAGCATGTAAATGATGGATTTATACCCAAAAGAACCAAAAGAAGGACTCAGAGAGACATTTGTACCCCCATGTTCATGGCAAGACTGTTCACAATAGCTAAAAGGTAGAAGTAACCCAACTGTCTATCGACAGATGAGTGGATAAACAAAATGCTGCATGGAGTTTATATCTATATATATATCAGTGTATCTATCTATGTATATAAAGCATATGTGTCTGTGAGAAGTAGAATATTATTCAGACTTAAAAAGGAAGGAAATTATGCCAAATGCTACACATGGATGAACCTTAAAGACATGATGCTAAGTGAAAGAAGCCAGAAAAGTGAGAAATACTTACATGAGGTACTTAGAGTACTCATAGTTACTGAGACATAAAGTGGAATGGTCATCACTAGGGGCTCAGGGAGAGGGGAATGGGTTGTTTAATGGGTACCAAGTTTTAGTTTTGTAAGATGAATTCTGTGGGTGGAAGGTGCTTATGGCAGCACAACAATATGAATGTACATAATGTCACTAAAGTGTCCACTTAGCATGGTTAATATGGCAAATTTTATGTGTATTTTGACATAATTTAAAAACTTTTTAAGTCCAAAAATGTACATAGTTGGGAATAGTGGTATATGCCTATAATTTCAGCATGTGGGAAGCTGAGGCAGGCAGATCATTATTTGAGGCCAGCCTCAAGTGAGACCTTATCTTAAAAACCCCAACCAAAAAGCATGTACATTAATGTTAACAGCAACTTTGTTTGAAACAGTCAAAAATTGGAGGCAAATCAAATATCCTATAATGGGTAAATGGTAGTTCCATTTACCCATAAACAAATGGTGGCTCCATGGTTGTGTTTAGTAATGAAAAGGAAACAACTATTGGTACATAAAATGACTTGAATAGACACCAAAGGTATTATGCTGAGTGAAAAAAGTCATCTGAAAAGATCACATACTGTATGATTCCATTTATGTAATGTCTTCAAGTTGACAAAATTATAGATATGGAGAATAAATTAGTGGTTGCCAAGGGTTAGGGATGCTGGGAGAGAGGAGAGAAGAGGAATAGTTGTGACTCTAAAGGAAAGGCAAAAGGAATGTGATGGAGATAGAACAGTTTTGTATCTAAATTATGGTAGTGGTTATAGAAATCTACATGTATGACATAATTGCATAGAACTACATCCATATGCACACACAGGAGAGCATGTAGCACTGATAAAATCTGAATAAACTGGATTATACCAATGTCCACTTCCTGCTTTTGACAGTGTATTATAATTATGTGATAACTATGTGTAATATGTGCTATTCTTCCTCCTATGCCACACTGGGGGAAACTGGATGGGGAGGGCATGGGACCTCTCAATTATTTTTGCAACTTTCTATGAATCTGTAAGTACTTAAAAGTTAAAAGTTAGAACAAACTAACCAAAATCAAACTTGCTATAGGCCTTAATAGCACTTGAATGCTTGACCACAGGCAGGCAATGTACCACCATGTGACCTGGCTATTACCTGCTTCACTCAGCCGCAAAGTGAAATGCGCACAACACTATATCATCAAATA